CTTCTTGGTTAAAATGCATGGCGGTATCCTTTTAAGTTTCAATCAAGACGATCTCAGTCTTATCTCCATCATTGAAACATTAACTTCTTTGCAGGAAATGTTTGTGAGATATAACCTAGCAAACTTAACTTTTTTTTTTAATAAAAAGGCATTTATGTTAGTTTTGCGGGTGGATAAACTTACTTGAATTTTGGAGCCAACTTTTTGTCAATTAACATTTTTACCATTTCTACAACATGCCTTATTTCACTTTCTTGTTCCATTTGACTAAAGTTGCATTTATATACCTGGGAGGATATGTGTTGCTTTTTGTGTCATTGATTCATTCTTCACCTTCATCCTTGAACACTACACTTCACCAGGTGAAGCTGAGGCCATCCTTGTGAAAGCAGAAGCAACAGCCAAAGGACTCACTCTTGTGTCACAGGCCCTCAAAGACAGTGGAGGTGTCGAGGTGAGGTTCTTGGCCCTCATGCTACTATAACTAACACATTGGTGCATTGGATTCTCAGTTTGTCCCTAAATCTGGAACCAACATGATCAAAAGAAGATTACCTTTTGAACTTCAATGACCAAGCAATATCAATTTTACTGTTGAAACTTCAGGAGATGATGTCTTTGGCTTCTTTCTTTTAGTTAAAACTATTTGTCTTTTCAATTTACACGACATTGGGCTTAACTCCACTAAACCATGGGAACAAAACTCTAGGAAATAATAAGGGTTTTCTTTTGTTAAGCTGTCTGTCTAAAAGATTGAATCTAGGACCTGGGCTATAAGCCTACCCAACTTCAAAAGACCAACCAATGAGGCCACCCATTGGTGCCTAGTGAAAAGTGAAAGCGACATTTAATTACTTTTCTGATCCCAACTCTTGCTACTACAAAACCTTTGAGCTCTGATTTTAAAACTATCCTTGAACTTTTCAATTTAAACCACTAAACCTACTATTTACGTAGATGTTAAAAAACAGTTATGTGTCATTCCCATATTCTCCCCTTCCTGACGAGTAAGTGGGACATTGTGTTTCTTTTACAAGTTTAGGTTACAGGCCTTATTCTCTTGTAGTGTTAAACTATCAAAATCTGCAATGGTACCTCTAGTTTTTACTATCGAAACCTGCAATTGGAAAAACTGAAAATGTAGTATGTGTTGCATGGTAAAAACTTAATTGAAAGATACAAAATGATTAGTTTCTATTAGAAGAGTTTTTGTTGTTCCAATTTCCTTCTCTGGAAGATGTATCGATAACAGTGCTGCTCTAGATATTATTTTGAATAGTTGCTACTCCTCACAGTTTTCCACAACGTAATTTTGTGATTACCTTGTTTGCTTAGATTATTGACAATAGAATGCTTGATTTTTTTTTCTATTTATCAAATTTGACTTTAGTATAATGATATTTAGTGGCTGAATATTTTCTTCCCTCTACTCTTATATTATTATTTTTATAAATTTTTCTGCTGACGTTCAGTCAATGCATAGTTTTTTTTCCCCCTGATTGTAGACGGAGTTGTAACATGTGACAACCAGCAATTCCTTTTTCCTTTTTGCTACATAGTGCCTATTTATTACGAAGATTAAATTAAAGTGATTACGTATGGCCTATATAACTGAAGTATCTCTGGGTTATTGACAGGCTGCTAGTTTGAAAATTGCTGAGCAATATATACAAGCCTTCAGTAATATTGCCAAAGAGGTGAAGTTTGAGCTTGTATACATTTGATTATCACAATTTGTAGTAGGGTCTAAATCCTAATCCTTGGACTTCCTGTTCAGGGTACCACAATGTTGCTTCCGAGTTCAGCTGCAAATCCAGCTAACATGATGGCTCAAGCCCTTACCATATACAAGAGCCTCGTTGGGAATGTCTCTAGCGGTGAAGCCAGAGGTAGTGGATTAATTGAAGGCATAAAGGAGAGCGATCTGTCAGCAGAAATGGTGGGAGAAAGCAACCGAACTGTTAGAAGAGTAGTTGATGAAGATCAAAATGGCAGCCCCGGATTTTCTCTACAGAGCCCCAAGAAAGCGGAATAGTAAATGGTTTCAACGAACTTGGTAAAGGGTTTCCATTTTTTTTTTCCTTCTGGTTGGGGGGGTTCTTTTTGGGGGAGAGGAAGTTGTACCCGAGGCCACTCCGAATACATTCTCAATCCAGTATTGTTTCTTCAGATTCAGTGGCGTTTAAGCGGTTCGGATATGATCTCTGTTTCCGACAAAAAATATTTCTAAAGCCATTCAATTCAACTTACACAAAGCACGTCTACCCATTTTTTCTATTTTCCTCTACCTTGTGAAGTCTGATTAATATGCGTGGACAAATTCCAAACAGGTAATGAATAAACAGAAATCTTTATTTATTTTGAGAAACGTTTTGAAGTTGTTAGTTATACGCATGCAATTTATTATTAATCAGTTGGATAAGGGGGTAAAACAAGCCCTCAAGCCCTCAAGCCCTCAACAGCAGGACAAATGTTAATCTCCTCATTCCTCTTTTTGAACCGGACCACCATGTGTAAAATAAATGATAAGTAATGTCAAAGGAGAAATACAGAGCTGGAGTTGGAGGTGCCATCTCAGGTTGAAGCTTCTGGTTCTGCCCACTTCCATTATAGTCGTAATTAACATAATCAATGGATACCCAGAATGCATATCAGGGAACCCAACCAACCCACCTTGGCATAACTTCCACAATCCTATTCCTTACAGACGACATAAACTCAGGTAACAATCGGAAAGAGTCCAAGTATTTGAAAAGGCAATCTTTCATTCACCAGATAACACCTAGCCATATATGGTTCGACTTTGTGAAATTCTCAGAAAACTGCAAATCATGAAAAGTTTACACATTGAACTATAGTCGCCAAACCCCTCGAGTCGAGGCACCAACCGAAAAGAAAGCCAAACTCCATAGCCACTCAAATCGGCACCTGGATGTATGGGCATAATATTTAATTCATGGCTTGGTTTTTCTTTCCAGAGGTGGCAGCCGTTTTTATCATTATGGTTTTTATTTGAGTTCAACAGCGCATTATTTAGCCACAAAAGAAGGTATCAACATTTCGCAATGATGATTGAAAGTTTAGGAAAAGAAAAGGCAATACATAAAAGTTTGGCTAGGGCAGAAGAACAGATCTTGCAGTTGCAGACATGGTAGCTAGGCTAGGAAATAAGAAGCAAAATTCTGAGTCGTAGAAAAAAGAATAGGATGAAATTAATTAAGAATTTTGAAGTGAAACATTGTGTAGGGGGGAAGGAATAATAATATAATTAAAGAAAAAAAAAGTATTCATACAGCAAGACGAGGGGAAGTAGCGGAAGATTCAGAAGAGTCCAAACAAGACGGAAACTCCGAGGATGATGAGCCACAAAATATGCACCAGAAGGAGGGCCTGGCCGGGAATAGGAGCAGAGCCCCCGTTGCCGACCTCACAGAATCCCAAGCTGGCGACCTTGACGCCTGAACACAAAGCATCGGCGCAACCACACCAGTAGGTAACGCCATCAACGCCGCAGACCGGGTCCGTCCTAAAGCATTTGACGGGGCAAGAAGAGGGCATGGAGGCAGGACAGAGATCTACGTCGCGGTCGCGGTCGCGGTCCCCGGCGTAGGAATCATGCTCAGATCGGACTGCACAGACCAAGATGAGGAGTGAAAAGAAGAAAAGCGAGGGTGAAGAGAAGGGGGTCATGTTCAGCGAGCTTTGAAAGCAAAGCTCGCGTGATTGCTAAATTGTTAATTGGTATTGGGGACTATGAGTATGAGCTAGATTTAGATTCTAGGGCAAGATCAAGTAGAAGGAAGAGATGTATGTCTCGAATTTTCTTCTTGACGGTTGGTTCGGAGTTTGGAATTTGGAAAAGCAGAGGAAAGGAAACGAAAGGAAAGTGGCCCAACTCGCCAAACGATTCCTTTCCTCAACAACTCAACGCGTTCCGACTCCTCTGTCAAACTCTAAATTCAAAACCCATTTTTCACCTTTTCCTTTTTTGACGGCTTTATGCATTTCTTAATATAAAATTAATGACTCGCGCAATTTCGCTCTTATAAAAATTAAACCTTCGATGTCAAAAATAAACCTTCAAAATGAAAGTAATTTAACTAATTATTAAACTGACCCCTGCCGTTAAATTAATTGGGTTTTCCGTCATCTTTCATCAGCCGCGCAAGAACTGAGTAGGCCAACCCCAGCAACGCAATTAAGCAATAAGCATCTTTCCACCGATTGAAGTTCTTAGATCCAATGCGGACTTATTTTTGGCTCACCAGATACAAAAAGGAAAGAAATTGTATTTTTTTTTAATTCTTCGTTCAAGCCAGTCTGACGGAAAATTTAACAATCACCACGCCCAATTTTAACCATTTATTAAGTTGAGGGTTCAATTTTTTCAATCGAAAAGTTTTGGGTGAAATTGTAGTTTAAGCCCCATTACTCACCCAAAATCGAAATTGAAAATAAAATCAATTTGAGTGAAATATGTTATTTTCTTGCTATAAATGTTCTGAAAGTATAATCAAATTTATAATCAAAATTGGAAATGGAGTGAATACCCTTTCTTATTTTAGTTAATGAAAAATAAATTGTCTACCAGAATATGGCTAGACTAGTTTTAAAAAGTTAAGAGTATTATTAATAGACGAGAGAAAAATAATAAATGTTGTAGAGTAGTTATTGAAAAAGTGTGAGCACACATCAATAAAAAATAAGAATTAAATTGATGAGGTCCGGAAGAAATACCAACTCTTTTTAAGGAGGTTGATTCATAAGTTTAGTTCTTTCTATTAATTCAAATCTTACATTTTAGTATTTATTTATTCTCGGGCCTAAGAGTAGTTTGTGCATCTTTTACCAAATATGAACTTAAAGTAGAGATTCGAATTTTTTTAAATTATAAATCTTTTTATCCATTTGAACCAAACTCAAACACGACCTTATATAAATTTAAATAATTGGGAAAATATTTGCTAAATTACTAAACGATATTGTTGTTTGATGCACAACTCTAGCTAAGGACGTTCGATGTGGTATTGAGTCCACGACACTCTATTGCTTAAGTTAGAAGATGAAACAAAGAAGGTTGAGGTAAGGATTGTATATCTGGTATGGTCGATCTCCCTCTATGGAGGGGATAATTAGAGTTCTTATCGGTCATACGAGTGTCAAGTCAATCGAAAAGCGTTGGCCTGTCGGAGATTTGAGAGAACAAACCAGGGTGATGCCCTTCTTGGTCATGTAGGTCGAGTTTTTTCGTGGGCTGACTTGGTCCATCTTTGTCGCTCTAAGCCTTATCATTTCTTGACTAAGTTGTAGCCTATCACTTGTTGAGCCTCTCTCGAAGATTTTGGCCACATGTCAGTTCAATCTCTCGCCACATAGTATGTCAATTAATAATTCTTTAACGTTTTATTTTCAAAGTAAGTTTTTAACTGTATGCTATACTCAAGTTTCCTCCCTTTTTAATATAAAATCTTGATTTGATTAAGAAATGCTAATCATTCAAGGAAGAGAGTAAAATGTGCTGGACTAAGTCGGATAATTTTATTGCAAGTAAATAAATGAAAGAATCCTCATAAACTATAAATAAGTCATACATATACATACAAGATGTGCGATCAATTATTTTAGATTAATAAGTAGGTATGAGCATGAAGCTTGTTATCTTATCACACCAGATGGAATCATTAACCAAGGCAAAGGCTAATTAAAGCACCACAAAATGAGGGAAGGGAGCAAATAAATGTGTGGTGTGGAGATGATTTGTCCTAAATATTAGGAGAAGGAGCTGGACCTCCTCCTATAAAGCCCTCCCCCCACCCCCCTTCCATTCCCCGTCCTCATTCACATAGCATCAAACTTAAGCCCTTCAGTAGTTGCAGTGTGTGCAGCAATTTGTTATCTCCCACCTCCACCAGCATCAGGCTCAGGCTCCCATCGGATTATTAGTCTCAAGTCCCAACATTCTTCTTATTCCACAATTTTATTTTTTACATAATATGGGAGGTTGTGCGAGCAGACCCAAGGGCATCGATCTCAACCCAACCGAGGTTCCCGCCACACCTAAAAACAAGGCCGAGCCTGAAATCGTTGGAGGTGAGAGCCAAAAAGAGGATGCATCGCCACCCTTGCTGGACCTGTCTGACCAACCAAAACAGGAAGCTCCTGCCGGTGGACATTCTGATTCGACCTCTGCACCATCCAAGCCTGCTGAACCAGAACCAGTATCAGTACCAGTACCAGAGCCTGCCCAAGCCCATGTACCTGATTTGACTTCCCAGCTTACCACGCAGGCCGAGAAAGTGGAAGCCATTGCCAAGGAATTAGAGGACAAGACTGAGGCTACTGTCCAAACCCAGACCAAGGACAAAGAGGGCCACCTCAAATCAGATCTCACTCCAACCTCCGAAGATAAAACCACCGTTGCACCCCTTGTTGCGGCCCAAGCATAACACATTCATTCATTCAATCCACCATCATGCATCAACTCTGTGATTCTATTTGATTTCTCGGGACGAGCGTGAATTATTCAAATTATTCCTCTTTACTTTACTTACGTAAATACTCTGCTTCCACTTCCAATTATTCCATTCCATTATCACTTTGTACCACACAAACAAATAACTCTTACCTTTCACATTATTCCATTATACCACAAAAGTGAAGAACATATGAAACCATATATAGCTAATTATGTGCAGCAAAAAGAAAAATCCCAGGCCTTTCATTCAATTTCAACTCCCACACTGATATCGGCAGATACCAAGTGTCGTACATAAACAAGAGTAAACTCAACTAATCAACACTAAGTTGCTTACTGAACGAGGGCGGACTTGGTTTGCCACAAAAGAAAGAAGGGCTAAACTGGAGAGGACTTGGATCGATAAGTTAAACTCATTATCTGGAATGGCTAGTTGGCCTCCGTCTATAAACTTTTTTTTTTTTTAAGTATAGCTTATTTCGCAATATTTACAGCGTACAAAACCGAAACAGATTGTGTATGCAACTACCAACTATAATTATGGCTGAACTGTTGATGAAAGTGAAAGCAGTCATCTTGGATATGATATGACAAAAGGAAGAAAAGAGTAGCTCGATTACACTGGGAAGTGGCATTTTCACGGACAAAATAACAATTGATCTTATTTGCGGAGTTATACAGTTAGTCGCAGTATCAACAAGTTGGTTATCACAACTTTGAAGTGTTAATTTTTGGAGTAGAACACTGATTTAGGATAGGAAATGAGCTGCAATCCCCTTCACGTAAAACTTTATGGCAATGTCGTGGATATCAGAGAATAATAAAAGAAGTCAGGTTTCAAATACAACAGACAACAGTAGTAGCAGGAGTTTTATGTTATATTTGGATATTTTTCTCGATCTTGGTAAAACTTTTTATGTTTCTCTAAGCTCCAAGCATGCCAAAATTCCATTTGCGTGTAACCACTCAAGAACGATCCATTTTTGCATCTCAAAATCATCTCACAACCTTTGTCAAAGAAATATAAGAATCCACTAACTTTACTGAAAAGGTGTGCTATCTATCTCTCGTCTAGGTGGAGGGGCATTGTAATGCTCCCATGACCCCCATCAAACTACAGTACAGGATTTGGAAGAATTTAACAAAATTTACAACTCTCTCTTAAAGTTCGTTCTAAAAATAGTATAGTATAGAGTAGAGCAGTGTAGACATTGATGTTTTTCCTCGAGGGTATCATTTTGATGATTAAGACACCAAGGAGGGAGAAAATTCTTTCGTCTTTCTTGATTAAGAAAAGGTGATGGTGTGGGATGAGCCGAGAGAGGGTTAGTTGTCTTATTTAAACATCCATCTTACATTGTGGGCCATATAAAAGAAATCATTTTGACTTTGAGCACTTAAAATGTTAAAAAGAATCTTTACTCAATTGAAAATCTGTGCCAGAGCACTCTGATTAGCAGAACACATAGGAAGGATTCTTATAAGAATTTTAAACCATTAAATATACACAACTCGAACCAGCCACCTGCAGTTCACCCTAACAAGAATTAAGATGGAATGAGAGTCAGAACTGATAGTACACCCACCGACTTCATATTTATCACTCTACAAAGCAGGAGATAGGAGAATGGACCTTTGTTTTTAGCAACCAGACAGGTCGAACCAGATTTGAGTAAACGAAACACTTTTCTTGTTAGCTCTGAAATATCTTAAATTAGTCGAAATCAGTTTCTTGACTTTGAAATAACACTTGCGAACACACTCTGAACCCCGATGGAGTTCGTGATATAGCATTACAACATCAACTTTGGCGGCCAGCGAGAAGGATTTTTCATGAAGGGCAAATAGAAGCACCAGTGCTGTACAATTAATATTGCATTTTCAGCAACATACATATGACGTGATTTGAAAACAGAAACCAGATACAAAAATAGAAACCTAAGCTTAGCGTCAGTTGACTGCAGGTTTAGCTAATGGAGGAGTAACCTCCTTGGGCGTGTCATCAATAGGCTTATCATCATCATCCTTCACAGCCAAGAAGACCAAAACAGCCAGCAGAGGATAACTCAGTGTTGTGAGCGACCAATTGACAACCAGCTGGGACATGTAGGAGACCTTGTGGTTGTCAACTTGCCAAGCAACTGCAGCCCCTGCACTCTGCACTCCCTTGTAGAATCCACTATACCTGTTTTATGCCCAATGTCAACAGGAAATTACCAGCTATACATTTATGAGCTAAAAATTACAATACAAAAGAAAGCACGATTCCTCTAAGCTCTAAAGCTTTAATTTATATCCCTATCCCCAACCATCAGAGTTCAGCATCAGCAACAAAAAAGATCAAGGGTGATAAATAGAAATACCTGCTCAAGGTCTCCGAATCATCTGCCAAGGCTCCAATAACCCAGTAGACCATACTCTGGAACATGGCATCCAGCAACCCAAAACAGAAAAATAAGAAGAAAGGCCCAACAAAATTAGAACCCGAGTCCTTAAAGTCCAACGTATCTGGCAACTTATGGCGGGAGTATCTCAGCTGGTTGGCCAGACCACCTGCCCATATTCCAGTACCCAAAAGCGCAACCAAACTAATTCCAAACAGACCCCTGGCCCTCCTACTCTTAAAACTGAAATCCAATAAATATCCTATCCCAACCGAGCCCACCATCTGTGCTCCCCAGTAGAAAACATTGTTGAACCCTCTTGTCCTCAAGTTAAATAATACCCCATTAACGTTATTGAACTGGTAGGTATAGAAAAAGTTACTGGACCATGCAGCAGGGACCATCAAGAGCATCTTCCAATTCAAAAACAGCTTGAGAATCTCAACACTCTCGGTGGAAACATTGGAGTACTTGATGTTGGTGCATCGTGAGCCGTCATCACGAACCACGCGACTGGGCGGCAAAATGGCCAGAGAAATCAGAGCCCCAACCGACATGAAGCACATGAAACCGATGTAGGTACCGTCGTTGACGGAAGAAGCCGTGCGCTTGTAATTGAGGATGAAGGGAATTAGACCCCCGATAACACCGCCCATATTGAATATACTCCAAAAAATGGATATGTAAGTCCCTTTGCGGTGGGGTGGGGGGTAGGAAGTCATGATGGCGCCTTCGCCGGCCCAGAGGAATCCGGCACCCACGCCGAGGATTGCGCCAGAAATAATTGCGAAGGTCTGTTCCTTGTGGTGGTTGTAGTAGAGGAAGGAACCAACGTAGAGGACATAAGTGGTGCAGCCGGCGAAGAGAGTGAGACGAGGTCCAAGGATGTTGTAGACGCCGCCCCCGATGATGCCGAATATGGCAAAAGTAGTGTATAGCGCGGTAGAAGCGTTATCGGCGGCCGTTGGATCCACTTGCCCGCCACCTCCCATGCCATTCAAGGCATTGAACATACCCGGACAACAAAAGCAAACAAACCCAATTAACATAACTTGGACCAAGGGAGAGTTATATCTGATTCCAAACAAGGATTTTCTTGGAATTTGGGGCGCGGATTCTTCATCTCCCTGGAAACCCATAAAACCCAAACCAGACTTTGGAGATCTCTATTGATTACAAGTTTTAAGCTAATGGTCCAATGAGGAAAATGGGAAGGGAACAACAGCCCCTAGTAGCCTATAAATAGGGAGGGGAGAGGGATCCAAATTGATATCCTAGTTTCCAACTAAACCTCTGTTTCCAACTTCCCTTAACATCACTAAATATTTGACAAAATGTAAAAAATAAAAAGTAAAAAAATGTTGAAAAATAATGAGGTAAAATATCCGAACCGAAGAGTCAAATTTTTTCTTTATAATATTTGACAAAATGTAAAAAACAAAAAGTAAAAAAATGTTGAAAAATAATGAGTGGTCAAATATTTGAAATATTTGACAAAATGTCAAAAATAAAAAGTAAAAAAATGTTGAAAAGTAATGAATTGTCAAATATCCGAATGGAAGAACCAAATTTTTTCTTTATAATATTTGACAAAATGTAAAAAACAAAAAGTAAAAAAATGTTGAAAAATAATGAGCAGTCAAATATTCGAACAGCCAAAATTTTTCTTTATATCGGCCATGTTTTAAGTCTACCCTATTTTTGTTTAATGTCCCAACAAGGATCTTACTTCGAGGGCCGGCAATGCAATTACTATGGCAGGAAACTTTCAAACAAGATATTAGAAAATTAAATAGAATTGCATAATATGACAAAATTTGAACTTGGTTTTGCACATTTTTTCTTTCTCCAAGGTCCTGGATCTGAAAACATGTCCTCACTCCTCAACTCATTCTCTATTGATCTGTGTGTTTGATTATTGGGAAACTAGAAATGTATATCGCTTCTTCGAATCCTCGTGCCTTTTATGGTTTGGTTATTGTTTATTTACACATACCTTTCTCATCCAAGTTCTCTTTACGTGTTCGATGCATCCAAAGGTGTCTTAGAAAACTACTTAAATTTCTAGATATCCATATCATTTTCAATCGTTTTGTTATTGAAATAGAATCATTTATTTACTTCAAGAACAGGTCGGTCGTCCGGCTCAGCATACTATACATATACCTGTCACCTTATGGGATTGGGATCGAGATGTTGTTTTTTTAGTACAAGAGAGAGAAGATTCGAACTCATAACCATATACCTGAACTATGCTCACTCATTGATTTTTTTTTATACAGACATCATTTGTTTTGAAACCAGAATCCAGGAATATTGATAATATTATTTTCTAAATAAACAAGAAAAAATTAGTTACAAATCCTCTTGTATGTTGCCATTGTGATAAGTGATCACAGATTCACACAACCAATTCAATCTTTAATTTCCTCAATTTTATATTTTATTTTTAATGATAAGTTTTGTGCAATTTCATGACCAAGACGTTACATCTTTCCATTTTTTTATTAAATGTGTTCAAAGAATATTAATTTTGGAGGGTTGCAATTTAGTCGTCTAAATTTTAATCTTTTAATTTGAATACTCTAAATTTAGAGTCAATAGCAGCATAAATCAATTGTTTAATATAAAAAATTATTATAAACGAGGGTTTTGGTAAAATTAATATGAAAATATCATAAGTTTTTATTTGAAACCAAGATACCGAAAATTTCAGGAATGACTTCGACTGCAAGATAATTATTTATTCAAAATATTTGTTTGTTTAGAATCTTGCACGATGAACCAAGAGCTAAAGACAAATAAATAAGAACCCATAGCTAAAGACAAATAAATAAGAACCCATAGCTAGAGACAAATAAAATATACGGTAGAAATACAACCATAGTTAGATTCGTAAACCCCAAAATTCGATAATTGAGATGGAAGCGAATTGTTTTTCTATAATCTAAAAACAGTAGCAAAGACAAGATGAGCAAACCAATAAAAAATAATTTAATTTGGAGGCTCTCTCCACACAAGATTTCCGTAGAAATATATTTCGTGGAGTTGAACTTTGATTTTTATTATATGTATTGTAGAATGGATTCTCAAATTATTAGCTCTGAAAATGAGAGACCTCACTATTTATAGAGGTTTCTACGGGTTTAGTGGACTTTTTGACTTGAATGATTTTGGACTCAACCTATGGATTGAACTCTATTTATTTAATTTCAAAATATTTCGGCTTGGATAATTTTTGACCCAACCTAATTTTTTAGGTGGATTAAATTTAAGTTTAAATAGGATAATGTAAAATTTTAAAACGGCCAAACCTATGAGATATTGCAATAATTGCTAAATGACTTTTTTTTTTAAATACTGAAAGAAAAGTTTAGACAAATATACCTTCGTAACCAATTAGGTATATATGCATAATTGTAGGGATTTAATATTTTTACAAATAGCAAAAACAATCTACCTTAATATTAGGGAATCAACTGTATCTAATAAAAAATAAATTAAATTAAAATAATTATCTTAAATCTAATTTAAAATTGTTAATTAGAATTTGAAAGTGAATTTAAAAAAAATTGATAAGACTGTGTTGAGGTAGATTTTGAAATTTACCCACCTAAAATAGAATATTTACAAATAAGAGATAAATATAATTAAGGAATTAACATTACTTTTATTGATTTTTTAATAAATTAGGGTTTTTTTAACATTAATTTTATTATTTTTTAAACATTACCTTTCACAAGCAATAGAACGTTAGGCCACAGCTCAATGATAATTGGCATAATCTCCAACCAAGAAGTTGTAAGTTCGATCCCTCATCCCTACCTATTGTATAAAAAATAAATAAAATCTATATATATGGTTAAAGTTAGAGAAAAAATAACTCCATACATAGGACAAAAATTTGTGATGGTACAGTGTCAGATGAAGAAAATTACTAGAATTCAATAATGGCAAAAAGCTGGACTAATTCGATACTTAAGTATGACAAAACATAACTAAATTTATTGCAATCAACATATTAAAATTGACAGCCGGCCGCGGTAATTAGAAGATTGCTTGCAAAGATAGCAGAAGAGAATTAATAGTTAATTACAAATATATATCATTTCTCTCATAAATACGTCATAATAAAAAGGAAGAATATAAGTCACATCCAAGCGAATAAAATATAAAATTGGTTATGCCCTTAAAATTGACGAATTTTTAAAAGGTAAAAAAAGTATCATATCGATACCTCTAATATAAAGTGATATACCTAAAATAGTATATCACTATATATATATTTAGTATGATTAATATATTCATACGATGCTTTCATCTTCAAAAAATATATGTATATTCATATTATGTATATTAATTATGTCGATGTGACCAATTGTGGCAGCATCAAGAAATTGGAAGCGGAAGCAGTTCTCCAAGGGTTCCGAAGTCTGATTTTGTGCAAGAGAATCCCTACTCGGTTCGTGTGGAAGTGGATGCAGCAGAGGTGGTAAATCTATTAATGGAGAAGACGAAGACCTCACCGAAATTCAGTGAGTTGTTGAGGAAATTTTGGAATTAAAGGCCCGGTGTGGGGCTCTGTCTTTTGTTAAAGTGAATAGGGCAATAAATAACTGTGCTCATTTTTTGGCTAGAAGAGCGGTTAAACGCAAAGATTTAGAGTGTTGGTCAAGTTATCTCTCGAATTGGTTAGTCAGGGAGGATCTGTTTTAGTTCTATAAAGTTCTTTCATTCTAAAAAAAAAAAAATTAATATTTATGTCGGTGTGAAATCGATCGAGCATAATAACTAAATTCACAAAACCCTTCATGATGAACGTGATTTGATAACCTGCAAAATAGATAAAGCACATACACTAGTGTGGTGCAAGCCAAACATACTCCCATGCTTAAGTTAGACTATAATTTGTGTTGAGCTTAACCAGTGTATCTCGTGTATGAAACTTATCATTTTATTTGTAGAGGAGTAAACTCGAGAACTTCTAGATATTATTCTTATTAAAATTTCAAATTCATTAAATCGAGAGGAATCATGTTGCGAGGTCCAAGGTTGTGCGCAATATACTTCCCAACAGGACTTGAAGAACGGGATTTGGCTCATGATCCAAACATAGGTAAGCTTATGAGTTGGATTTATGGAGATGCTCCAAGTGCTCGACCCATGGGCTTGGGCCATGGTACTTGGCCTACGGGGACTTGAACCTTGAGTCGTACCTAGACCATAGAGTCTTAATAGATCCCGATCAACTTACCTTTTCGAACTAAGTCTCTACAATTATGGACATTCGAAAAAGTTCACTTTAACATGGTTACACTCTTTTTATTGAGAGCCTTTATGTAACTTGTTCGTAAACAGAGTTTTATCTCACCCGTAATAAGCATATCAATTATATACATCAACTGAAAAAAATATAATTTATGTATTTAAAATATCAATAAGACAGTTTAAATGTTACTTAAACTAAAATCTTCTAACCCGAACCAAATATATCATTGATATACGTAATACAAAACATATAATCCATTATATGTAGTGTAACTAATATATTCATATTAGTTATATTAATGATATATTTAGTATTATAATTGATATATCTATTATCAAGTATATAAAAAATATCTTCATTTTAGTTATACCACGATATACTTAAAACAAAGTATATAAATGATATACATGATGAATCAATAAAAAGCTAGTAATATTATTTAAATATAAATCTAAGCAAAATATTTATTAGTGATAAAGTATATAATTGATATATTTAGTGTGACTGATATTATTCGTATTAAATAAATCGATTCACGAATATATTAGAAATAAAAAAGAATAAAAAAATTGATTTTAAAGCTATTGTCATATTATATTTGCAAATATGGACCTTAAAAATACCCCAACTAAAATCATAATTCAACCTTGTTATGGAAAAATAATAATAGTTATAATTTAACATATATTAGGTGGGAGAAAAAAAAAGGACCATCACTGTCGAGTGGAAGGTAACTGTGGATAGCAAAAGTAGCGGGAGTTGTGAGTTGTGTTGGGACAAAGCTCTCTCCGGCAGCAAGGCTTAAACGATGCTGCTTTCTGCTGCTGTTTTCGGCGATCCCCTGACCTCGATTATCTCTGCCATACTGCCGGTTAAAAACATCACTTCTGTTAGATTCCAGAATCGGCCCGTATCCCTACGCCTACGATTCTCCCTCTCTGCAACCAACTCCGTCAGCAATGACATTACAGACGACAGAAACAAACACTCGATTCACCTTGATAGCCTCAGAGCGCTGGAATGGGATAAACTCTGCGATTCCGTTGCTTCATTTGCCCGCACTTCTCTGGGCCGTCAAGCAATCAAGGTCTCTTCTATATCGCACCTAAATTATTATATTCCATTCTATTACACCTAACGTTTTTGTTTCTCCTACGTACCACTACTGCTTCACTTTTTGATTCATTGGAATAAATATATTTTACCAAGCATGGGTCAAACTAATTCCTGAAAGCTTTGTAACAGCAGAACCAACCGACAAAAAGTCTAAATTTAAAAATATTAACTGCAACAACGTTACAACCAAGCAATTGCTCTGTTATACCCCCTCAAATTGGATCCTCGGGGGTGATTTTGATATTGTATTTGAGAAGAAATATAGGAGGAAGTGGCTTGGTTAGAGCATCAGCTAGTTGTTCAACGGAAAAAAAAACAGGTTCAACTTGAATGAGAACCTCTGTGGACTTGACCACAAACCTGCTGTAACATTTTAAAATTTAACAAAAGGAGTTTTCATATTTAGGTACATTAGTTCGACTTAAGTTTCTTGATTAAATACGGAGGAGAGTTGTTTTGTAAGTTTAATGTTTTGGAAGGCTATTTTTCATGAGTAATATTTTAGAAACTAATTTTGTATTTAAGACCCTAGATAATTTTTTTTTTTTGAGTTCAACAGTATCTCGGGGTGGAGATTTGAACCTCCAACATTTTGGTCGAGGATATATGTCTTAGCGAGCTATGCTCGGGGCTGACAACTCCGTAGATATTTGAATCCTATAAATATCTCCACCCACTTCAATTTCACTCCACAAAGGTATTATTTGAGGTAGAGCTTTTGAGTTCAACCTCTTAAATTAGTACACAGTAGTTCAAGCTATACAAAGTTTTAGTTGGTATTTGTAGGGGATAAATGAAGAGAAGTTCCGTGGCATTGGTTGCAGATAAAAAATTCATATCATTAAATTAACCGAAAATATTACTCTTCCGTCGGTCCTTCATGTCCTTAAATTAGCCTACAATCTTTTATTAGTTAGTAAAATTGGACCAACAATAGAGAATTAACATTTGCCAAAGCATCAAACTCGAAAGCCACAAAACATTAAATAACTCAAATAGGAGCCTCAAACACTGAAGCAAAAGGGTAGTGGAAGAATAGATGCTGCGAAGTTTCACTAGAATTAGTGCATAAGAAATAAACAGATGGCTGGATGATCATTGAAGGAAGCTTCTTTTGTAGGACTTCCTCCGTATTTACTTTACCATGAATAAGAATCCAAATGAAAACATTAACTTTCTTTGGACTTTTGGATTTCCAAAGAGGAGCATCATGCTCTTTCGGCAAAGGAGCATATGAACCAATTGGCTTGCATAATTATCTTACCGAGAAAACTTTAGAAGATTCCAACAGCCAACCTATTTGATCTAGCTTCATTTGGCAGATGAGCATGGAAGGTGGGCCACGGGTGCCAAGCCGACCAAAATTTGATGGAGGTTTTCAAAGTTAAATGGTATTGGTTGAACTTGCTGGGCAAGTAGGAGCAGGAAAACTAGATGGCAGAGATTTATTACCTTGAATCGATGCTTCAGAAGTTAAAAAGTTTTTCATGAAGTTTCCACTCCTGACGGAGTTTGTATTTTTTACATTATTGTTCCTTTTCATGAATCAATGAAAAGTTCGTATCTTGTTCAAGAAAAAAAATGAAGTTCCTCAAATGAAGTTGGGTTATCTTGGGCTTGGACAGCATGTACTTGCTCTTTGGATCTATCTCCTTATTACTTGTCCATCAAGAACTTTACAAACTGAATCTTCAGCATCATCTGGTGCTCTAAAATAGCCAATAGTTGGCACAAGCCTTTACAATTTGAAGAAACTTAGTGATCCTTTGGGGTCCTCTTAAAGTTTTAAGATGAATTTTTACTTTGATGTGTCTTCGACATGATGTAGCATAAGTATGTTGGGGGTTGTCTAGGCTTCTTGTGAGGTTTTAGCTGTGAATGAAATGATGGATGGTGAAATGAGATCCTACAAGGGCATTCGGGTGTCAAATTTATCTGAGCAGTAATTTTTGTTTCTTATCACAAGTTATCATTCTTGTCTGACCCAGAGTGTGCATGCAAGATTTGGTATGATGATGCGTTTCTAGAGAAGCTAGGCGTGGTTTTGTACCATCAACATAACCAGTGAGATCATAGCCCACAAAAGGAGCGTGAAACTAGAGCTTTTATGTGACGCAATTGATGGAGATGAGTTTGAGTGGGGCTTGAGTTGAAACTTAGTGGCAACCATTGTGTTGTTTGGTCCATTGGTCTCATGAATCAATGGATTGGAAATGGAAGTTAGGGTTGAGGGAGCTGGCAATTAGAATTGATCTGGTTCCATCATAGCGTTGCTGATATGAAAAGTACTGCTTCGGTTTTTAATTGATAGGATTTAATATTTATTACAAAGCATGAATAAAACTAATTCCTAAGAGGTAGGTAACAGCATAACTAAACGATACCAAATTCAAGTTAAAAAATAATTCAAACAGTATTATAAACAAGTGATTGATAGTAATTACTTAAAAACTTTCTTTATGTTCTATTTAAGCCTGTTTTAATCACTTTATTGTTAATTGGTCGGTGTAATGGACAGGCCCAACTTTGGTCTTTGAACCGGACATATGAAGAAAGTTTGAGACTTCTGAATGAGACTAATGCGGCTGTAGAAATGCAGAAGCATGGTGGATGCAGTTTGGATTTAAGTGGCATCGACCTTCTTCTGGTTAATGTCCTGTCACTGATTTTCTGTCTTCTATCTTGGTCGACTGAATGAATTTAATTGCCAAAATATAGAATTTAGGAGACGCACTAAGCTGTTTGAACTTTGAATGAATTTGTCTCAGGCAAAATGTTGGGAACAATCACGATACTTGCCTTCCACAACTAGAGGGGAGTTTAATTCTTTATTTTGTCTTAAGGAAACAAAATTGTATATTTTTTTTAACAAGATACGGACTTTTCATTGATGTTGACGTATGAAAATGAACAAAAATTGTTCAAAAATACAAACTCTCAGGGAGTGAGGAAAGTAAATACAAATAAATATAAGAAACAAAGAAAATTAACCTGGAGTTATAAAAGCCTCCTAATTAAAACACATCATGCTAGGGGAATAATTAGAGAATAAATTGGAAAGACCACATTAAATTTGGCAATGTTGAGAATTTCTAGAGCTGGTTTATTTTTTCGGTTTCTTTCAAACCATAGCTTAAATATAGACGCTTTCACTCAATTAACCCAAAGCAGATTTGCTTTTGAAGGCAAACGTAGTCAAAATAGTAGCTGCTGTACATTTGTAGAAACTTCTGAAATGGACACAAGATAGGTTGAAGAGCTGCAGCAAAGAATTCCAACATCCAGCAGCATAGTTGCAAAGAAAAAAAAATATGCATCTGATTTTCACACAAAGCTTCACAAAAGATACAAATATATGGCTGAAGAGACATAAAAGGCATCTTATTTTGAAGTACCTCCACGGTATTATAAACAAAAATGTATTAAATTAGGGATTTATTTATTTAAACCTTAAAATGGCTTTAGGTTCGCAGGCATAGCTAAGGATAATGAGCAATAAATCTGTGACAAATTTTAGATGTTTAGAATAGTAAATAAAAAGTTTCTAATTATGTTTTTCATCTTTATAGTACTCATTTGCTAGCCTTCTATTTCATGTATTTTTTTGAACAAGAAACAAACTTTTTATTGATAATATGAAAAGGAAGAAAAAGTTCAAGGATACAAGCTTCCAAAGGAAGCGAAAAAGAAAGAAGAAAAGCAACCAAACCTAAGAACCAAAATACAAGGAAATAGACGAGATCTGAAGCCCAAGAAATATCAAATAGACTACATCATTGATAGGCGTCTATCACTAATAGACTAATCAGTGATAGAAGTTTGATAGACTATGTCATTGGTAGACGTCTAACATTGATAGACTATTCCTGAGGCAGACATCTATCAGTGATAGACTATATTAGTGATAGATGTTAGATGTTTATCAATGTTATAGTCTATTAGTGATAGATGTCAATAAGTTATATACAAAGGTAAAAAGAGAATTATGTACAAACGTCTAAATAGGTTCGCAAAAAATTACCATATTTGTAAAATCGTAATCATGTTGCTATATTTGCAAATATAGCACCGTTAATTGCCACACATTGAAATTTCCCTAGTGTTTATTCGGGGCAAGTTTTTGTAAACTCTAGTGGGAGTGGTTGTTTTATTGTAGTTAATTTTCGGTTCTTTGAATTATTCAACTTTTCACCTTGTTTCAGAAGAAAAAAAAAAGAACTCAAAGTGGTTACTGATGCCACTGTCTTATTTACCAAGAGTGTAATTATTTCATTACACTTCAAAGTGCTCTGTCTTGTTGTTGAAGGTGAAATCTGCAATAGAACATGCTCAAAGAAGTCTGCCAATGGATGGAAATGAAGCAAGGGCTGTTGCAGCTCTTCTACAGTTTTCTGATATGTTGCAATTTAATTTAAAAACTGCAATCGAAGAGGATGCAGACTGGTTCACCCGTTTTATGCCCCTAACGGAAGTGGTAAATGAAGCATCTTTGGGTGTGACCTTAAGCCACTGCTATATTCTATAATATTATGTAACCTTTTATTTAAATCTTGATTGTAGGTAATGGGAATGGTTGTAAATCAATCACTGATTAAACTGATACTGAAAGTTGTAGATGAAGATGGCTCAGTTAAAGATTCTGCGGTTTGATCTTTATAAACTTACCGATTTTGATTTTGTTACTTATATATGCTTATTACGTTTTGAACCCTAATAATTTGTTCTACAACTTTTATCTTCATGTTCTAATTGCATCTAGATATTTATGTCATTTCCTTAACATTTGCATTTATGGAGAAAATATTTTATTAACTTTTGAAGTGTTTATTACATTTGAGAGCATCTGTTATTTTTTGTTTATTTTCTTTTTATTTACTATGGTCCATGATCTCTCTCTCTCTTCATTAGAGTTATGCCTTGAGACAATCCCGAGATCAAGTTCGAACGCTTGAAAAAAAGGTGATCAAGTTCGAATGCTTTGGAATTATTCTTCTTCTCTCATTTGTTCTGATTGGGTGTTTTTTGCTGTGGTGTTTAATTTTTGTTTATTTCATTGTTTTCTTTCACTCTTTCGAGAGTTCGTATCGTTGAACATTTATGTTCCTTTTCATTATTTCAATGAGAAGTTTGTTTCTTGTTTTAAAAAAAAAGTGATCTCTCTCTCCCGCTCTCTTCATTAGAGTTATGCCTTGAGACAATCTCGAGCATCTGTTTTCTTTTGTTGAAGTTTTAAGGAAGCTTCATTGTTCAGGGAATTGCTAGTTGTTTTTCTTTCTTTCTTTTTGTTTTTTTTTTAAAACAAGAAATGGAATTTTCATTGATAAATGAAAATAATAAAAAATGTTCAAATATACAAACTCCCATAGGAGCAAAGAGAAATAAAAAACAAGATAGATAAAACATCAAAAGGCTAAGAAGAAGATACAAAAGCCTCCCAAGAACAACAAATGGTTAGGGGTGTACATTGGTCGATCGGGTCGGTTTTCAGGCTGATGCTGATTGGTCGGTTTCCAAAAATGACAATCGACCAACCGACCAAATAGTCGGTTCGGTTGGTAAGTTTTCGACAAACTGACGTTTTTTTTTAAAACAATTTATGCCTAGGAGAAGAAAAATAGGACTCGCCTGAAGGTGATGGTCATCGGAGATGAGGGACTGAGGGTGGGGCGGGGTTGCCTAATGCTTCTGCTATGGTTGAGGTGGCGAATTGGCAACGACGACTATGAGCAAGGGAGGCAAATGGGCGAGTGGTGACTGAGGGAGAAAGAGACATGGTGGGGGGCGTGTGAGATGTGGGGCTGTCGGAAGAAGACAGAAAATGGAGGGGGAGGTGGTGTGCGGCTGAGATGTGTGGAGAAAAGAAACGGAAATTTGGGGGGGGGGGGTGGTGTTGTGCGGCTGTGGGAGAGAAGAAAGGGTAAAAACCTTAATTTTAGTTTGATATAATAATATATATACATATATAATTTTTTTAAAATATAAAATGTCGGTTTGGTCGGTCGGTTTGGGGGTTTATTACCCTTCATTAATACTAATTCAACATCATTCCTGTATGTACAGTTATATCAGTTAATGGACAGCCTAGTTAGGAATGCAAAGAGTGGAACATCCTTTTTGGTAAGAAGCACCAGATTGGACTTGTATTAACCAATTTGTTCTTTTTCTTTTTTGATAAATGTTTATTTGTATAAGCAACATTGGTAGATTTCTGGACTGATTGTTTATCTATGTCATAATACTACTCACATTTTGGCTTAGGAAGTGGGAAATGTTGATGGAAGGTGGTGTATAAAATCAGAGGGTAATCAATTGATGGACTTTAAGGGTCTCCTGCTGTCCAGGTTCATCCGTTTTTAACTCATAGCATTCATGTACTATTGCATCAACTTATGAAATTCGCTTTCTCACCTCTTTCATGCTAAGTTCAATGCCGGTAATGAAATGTCGTTGATTATCAAATGTAGCTATCCTTCAGTGCAGCATAGTTTTATTTGGAAAAAAAAAAAAGAAACCCATTTAACAAAAGCTCAAGTACAAAAAATAATGATATGACATCTCCCAACCAGCAGTTAAGCTTACAAAAATGTGGCCGGGTTGGAAGATTAAAAAGCAAGCTATAAGTCTTCTTGATAAAGTACACCAGTTCGAAGCTAGATATTTGACATGATCCCAGAACCGATGAGATTCCTTCTCATCTCTTCAAAAGTTTTTCCGTTCCTCGCCAGCCAAATATCTCCCCCAAAGATCTTATTTAGTCTACCCTAGTATCAATTCTATTGAATTCATGGCAGAAGATCTTATGCTCTATGACGCATGATAAGGAGGAGGTAGTCTTTGACTTCTCCATGAGGCATAATCCCCTCTGCAGGATGATCGATTATACCAAAATTATAAGAAAAAAAGAACAGTATGCTGGACTGGGAACATGTTATTGGCTGCCAGAAGGATAAAAGCTCGAATTACAGAATTGAAAGATGGCCAAGGGTATACATTTTTGAATCAAAGGGAGATCGAGAAAGAAGTAATTTGCTTTTTTGATGGTATCTCTACGAAGGAGTCCAAAAGTTTTTGCTTAAAGGAGTCAGTTGGAGGCCTATCTCAAACTAGATCAGTATGTGGTTGGTAAGAAGATTCTATGAAGCTGAGATTTGGCAAGCTCTGAAAGGTCTAGGGAATAATAAGGCCTCGGGGCCGGATGGTTTTTCTCCAGAATTTTTCTTACGCTTTTGGCAGTCGTGAAAAGTCGATTTGTTGCGACTTTTTGGGGAATTCTACGGGAATGGTCATGTAAATGCTTGCTTAAAGGAGAATTTTATTTGTCTTATCCCAAAGAAGGAAAAGGGTGGAAAAAGTTAGAAGACTCTTGGCCAATAAGTCTTACAACTTCAGTATACAAAATTATGGCTGAGGTCCTCGTAGAAAGGTTTAAAAAAGTAATCTCATCCACGGTTGCAACTAATCAAAGTGTTTTTATTGAAGGTAGGCAAATTTTAGATGAGAGCTTCGCCCTTGCAAATTCAAGGCCTAACAATGGTATGCTCTTTCTAATTTGTTTGCTAATTATTCTCTTAATATGATTTGCTCAAATTGGGAGGCTTTCATAACTCCCTTCAAATTTTTGTTTTGTTCTAATTATTTGGAGTTCGTTTTTTCTTTGCTTCCATGCCTTCAGGAATTTGTATCTTTCGAACACTTTTGTTCTTTTCAAATTAATCAATGGAAAGTTTATTTCTTGTTAAAAAAAAATTTGAAACGAGGTTGTAGAGTACTAAAAATCCCGAAAGAGGAAAGGCTGGTTGATTAAGTTCAATATTGGTGGATTAAGGGTTTCTAATTGACGTGCTCCATCAAAAGGCTCTGGGAGGAAGTGGATTAAGTGGAAATGGATGCATTAGAGAAACCAAATTTTCTGTCATTCTAAATGGAAGGCCAATGGGAAGAATTCAAACTTCAAGGAGATTAAGACTAGGTGATCCACCCTTTCTTTTTATTTTAGTTAGTGATGGTAGAATGCTGGCAATTTTATTTAATACTATTAAGGGCTTTGAATGGATCTCCGGGCTAAATGTGAATTAGGATAAGCCTGCAATAAGCAGGGTTAATATTGAAAGTCAGAAAATTTCTCAAATTGCAAACAAGCTCAATTGTAAGGTGGAGCCCTTGCCTATCATGTATCTTGGTCTTCCATTGGGGGGAAATCCGAAATCGATAAAGATTTCTGGAATCCAGTTAAAGAAAAGATTTCAAGAAAGTTTGATAGATGGAAGGGATTTCAGCTTCCAAAGGGAGGAAGATTGATATTATGCTGGAATCAAAATTGGATATCCTGGACAACCAGTTTGTGTGCAAAAAAGGATCTTGGCCAAATTCTTACCTCGGCCTCCCTTTGAATGGTAAGCCTCAATCGGTATCTTTTTGGGATCCTATAATGGAAAAGGTGAGGAAAAAGTTGAGCTCTTGGGCTAATTACCCCATTTCAAAAGGGGTAGCCTCACCCTTCTCCAAGCCACCTAAAAACTAAGGATAAGGATAGAGACACCAGAGAGACATACACGAGAAAAGAGAGAAGAAATAAATTCTCAAATTGATTGATCAAAGATGAGGAATAGAGGCACTATTTATAGGTTACCAAGAGGAAACAAAATCTAGGAATAACCTCCTAACTTCCCTAACAAAAAAGGAGATTTATTTGCTAAATTTAAACACAAAATCTAAACAACTTTAAAACAACTTCTAACTACTTAACTTCTAACTAATTCAACACCACCCTTTCCAATCTTCTTATTTATTATCTATCTATTTTCTCCATTCCATCACAGGTGGCCAAGGAATTGGAGAAAATCATGAGGCACTTCCTTTGGAACGGTACTGACACGAAAAGGGGTCAAAATCTTGTGAGATGGGAAAAGATCATCCGTCCCATTGAAGAGGGAGGGCTGGGAATTACTAACATCAAAGACAAAAATAAAGCCCTCTTAGAAAAATGGATTTGGAGGTATCTTTTGGAAGAATCTGCCCTTCGGAGGAGAGTCATTGATGCAAAATATGGGCCCTTTAATTACCATCAGACTGCCTTACACCACTCCTTATCCTCTGCCCATGGCCCATGGAAGTATATTCTCAGACACAAATCTCTTATCATGGACAGAAGCACCAAAAAAATAGGTGATGGATCTAGTACTTGCTTTTGGAATGACATTTGGCTGGAAAATGACCCCCTAGCTACCACTTACCCGCTTCTTTTTACCCTGCACACCAAAAAAGATGCATCTGTTAAGGACATGTGGTCAGCAGCAACAAGCCTTGGGACTTTAGCTTTTGAAGAAATTTGAAAGAGGCAGAAATCACTGATCGCTCCTCCACAATCTTTCCTCCTATCAACCTACCCAAGGCAGTGATAGATTCATTTGGAGGCTGGAACCATCGGGTCTCTTCACTACTAGATCCCTCATCCATGATATGGCCAACCCCTCATCCTCACCCAATGATGCTTCACTCTTCAAATCGATATGGAAAGATCATTACCCGAAGAAGATCAAATTCTTCCTCAGGGAAGTATTCTTTCGGCTTTAAATACCCAGGAAATGCTACAAAAGAGACAACCTTCGACATGCCTTTCTCCTCATTGGTGTGTCCTCTGTCAACAACATGGTGAATCACAACGGACACATTTTCGTTACTTTCAGATACTCATCCTCTCTTTGGAACATTCTCCTATCATCATTTGGTTGGTCAATACCACTACCTGCAGACCTTCACACCCTTTTATCCACCACAGTCACAGGTCATCCTTTCTCAAAGGAGGCTAAAATCCTATAGATGCATTTTGTCCAGGCTTTACTTTGGTCGATATGGCTGGAAAGAAATCACAGGCTCTTTCAAGGAAAAGAACGAAGCAGCAGCAGCATTTTTTATTCTAGTGTCTTTGGTTGTATCATGGTGCAAATGATCTCCTATCTTTAAACACTATAGCTTTGTCTCTTTATTAACCAATTGGAAAGCCTTTTTGTAGCTCCATTGGTTTGGGATACCTTTCCCCTTTTGTATATCTTTCTTATATTTCATTACATTAATGAAATCATATCTTTTACAAGAAAAAAGATTGATATTATGCCAATCGGTTCTCCAATATTCCTATTTATTACATGTCTCTTTTCAAGTTACCGGTGAAAGTGAGTAAGCAAATTGAGAAAAGGATGAGGAATTTTCTCAGGGTGGATTACTCTACTGGATCACAGAAGCAATTTGCTCATTGGGACTTTGTCGCACAACATTGGAAGATGGAATGTCGGGAATAGGCAATTTGTTATGAAGAAACTGTGCACTTCTAGCCATGTGGGGTTGGCGATTCAGCTATCTGGAGTGTCTTCTTTATGGCGTCGGGTGGTGGCTAGTATATATAGTACTGATTGCTTCAATTGGAACACTTTGGTTTGAAGAATGGTTGTACTCAAACCCCCTGGATTAATATTGACAAGCAGTGAAACTAGTGGAGAAGCATCTGTCTTTCAGTCTTGGAAATCAGAAACGTATTCTATTTTGGCATCATTTACGGTTGGGTGATCTGTTTATTTTGGCATCATTTATGGTTGGGTGAATCTGTTTTAAAGGTTAGATTCCTTATCCTTACAGGATTTCTGCCTCCCCCTCAGCTTCTGTTTTTGATCTTTGGGATCCAGCCACTTTATCTCGGAGGATTGTAATAAGAAGGATCAAAGGATAATTGGGAGGCTTTTATCTTTCTTTTATAATCGCTTGAGTTGGTTTGTAATTTTTTTGTATTGCACTTTTGTTTTCTGCATTTTTCTATATTTTGGTTTTCTTTGCTTCCTTAGGGGATTTACATTCTTTGAACAATTTGCTCCTTTTCATTAATCAATAACAAGTTGATACCTTGTTAAAAAAAAAAAAAAAGAAAAACTTCTCCTACCAACTTTTCATTTGACTTAACTAAAATGCAATTCTTGGCACCTTCATTAGACAAAAACGAAATTTCAGCCTACCACCCCAAAGAATTATACTTTTTTGTTACCATAAAAAAGCCTCGTTCTCCTCTCATATTAACCAAAATGCAATTTGCTCCTTTTTTGTTACCACCCCAAAGCAATTCGGATGCAGTTAGTTCTCGACATCTTGTGTCCCTAGCTTCTACTTGGTTCTTTTTGGAGTTTGGTCTTCACTCTTGGTGCTAAGGAAGGCTTTCCCTGACGCGGTTGTTGATTCTGGAATTAGTTTGACTTTCAAAGCTTTGTCGCTAGCAGTTTTTTGGAGTTCTGGTCCAGAATGCTTTTTATCTTTTTCGAGCTTGTTGTTGTGATAATTCTTCGTTATTTTTCTCTTCTTCTTTCTCTCCTTTTTCACCCCTTTGAAGTTTGTATCTTGAACATCTTTCCTTTTCATACATCAATGGAAAGTTGTTTCTTATTAAAAAAAAAGAAAAAATAAGCCTTGTTCTCCTCTCATCTGCTTAAAAAAATTGACATTCAAGGGACACCTCCAAAGTTGCGCAAAAACTTGCTCTGCCCACTTCAATAGATTTCATTGAAGCTTGATAAAGAAAGAACAATATTTTTGTCTCTTCTAAAAGATAATTGCCACGAACAAAACAAACAAAAGAAAGATTTATTTGCAATGCAACAACTACTGTCAAAGCTATCCATAGGTGAACAGGACTCGACGACTAGAAAGTCAGTGAAAACGAACAAAAGAAGAAACTTGCTAGAAAGAGTGAGGGAAAACCCTAGAGAACATTCTTTCCTTAAGTTGGCATCAGGTCCCTGGGGAGACCTCATTTTGAAGAGCAAGATTGCTCTCTCTATCATGAACCTCCAGACAAACAACTCTATTATGCAGGAGGCATCAGAAAACAATCCA